ACAGACAAAAACATACAGAAATATACACACAGAACATGTGCTTATGGCTCGAAGCCTGAGCCTCCGGCAGGGATCCCACCGACCAGCTGGGGAGGACGCCCCTTTTCATTGCGGCGGGAAACGGACAGGCCGTGGCCTGGGGCTTTCCTTTCAACACCTTCACATGTTCTAGATTCTTCGTCAGGTTGGCTGGAGGGGTGCCTGCAGGATCGATAGTCTTAGTATGTATGGTTATAAGTACCTGAAAGGTGTCAAAGGTGTCTGTGTATATATATATATATATGTATGTATGTAATACAAATGTAAACTTGCATACATACATACATTAATACATAGGTATGTGTGTATACATACACGAATGTTTTGATTTTTTATGTATATACACTTGCATTTGTATATGCATATGTATACAGAGGTTTCTTTAGTTGTATATTTCTGGTGGTTACTCAGTTGCATGGACCTTCAAGTAGGGTTGCACCTGAACAGGTCGAAATCGTCCGGTCTCTGCTCCTAGCACGCTCCGACCCGAACAAGGAGGATCGCTATCGCCAGACCTCCTTGATCAGCGCGGTGCATGTCGGCTGTGTTGAGGCTTGGACAAGCCTGAAGAGATTCAAGCTGGTGTGCTTTCTCAGTTAAGATCCCTCAATTTTTCATCCGCCCATTCCAGAGATTTTACGATCTAAGACATCTTTAAACTGGAAATGACGTTTCCACTGACGATCAGCGTCCGAAAGTTCAGCATCCGGTTTTGAGGATCAAAATAAGCAGGATCCTGCACGGCTTATAGAGTCTATGTTTGGGTCCCTCACTTCATCACGAATCGCATCTAAAAGTGGGAAGGTGGTGCGCTGCCTCCTGGAAGCCGGAGCGGCGAAGGACCGAGCCGATCAGCACGGTCATTCGCCCCTCTTCATAGCCGCTGGCAAGGGCCACCTCGACGTCACTCGGCCGCAAGAGCATCATTGCTCAAGGCAAAGGCCTCGCAGCAAGAGAAAGAGATAGAAGGACCACAAGCAAAAAAGGGTCCAAGTATCATCATGGTATATACTTAGACCCCCCCGAAATACCCTATAAGTACATACCATAACGATACTTGGACCCTTTGGGAAAAGCACTGCACGACTTCCGAAAAGGTCTGTTGGAACGAGCGCTCTCCGACAGGTGCACCCTGCATTCTTGAAATCTGTACATCTCTGCTGAACTCCACTGGAGCATAATGATGGCATAATGCCATGCTTCCGAAGTGCGACATTGAAAACAGAGGAACCGACGACGTAGCAGCAGTGTGTTGCTACGTAGTGTCGTACTATCAATGCCACTTGCAGTTAGAATCGGTCACCGACAACAAGCTCTAACGCAGCTAATATCGCGCAGCAGCCATGGTAGCTAGTGTGGTTTGAACGGTTGTGCTTGCGGTTGATTACATATTGTCGTTGCTGCTACCTTTGCCGCTGTTGCCTCAGGTCGTGAATTGCCTGGTGGCTGCGGAAGCCGACCTGCATCAAGCGGACCGGATTGGCCAGTCGCCCCTCTTTATCGCTGCTGATGTCGGCAACCTGAATGTGGTCAGACATCTGCGCCTGGGCGGAGCTTACATACCGTAGACGTACCCTCGGAGACAGCCCTGAACGGTCACGAAAACGAGCCCGAAGCCGTACAGCAGGGCAGCCGCTGCAGGAATACTAGGGTTTACTTTAGTTTTTTGGGATTCTTAAATTGGCTTTTCAAACCCGAATCCCAACAACAGACTTATAGGGCTTAATTCGGCTTTCCGAAACTCACAGCAAGAAGTTAACCCTGAGACCCGTAAGTTGCTTCCCTTTCTCCCTCGCGAGCTGCCACCGCCATAAGCCAACAAGCCCAACAGCTGCGGAACCAAGACTTGAGAGCCTACAGACAAATCCCAGGTCTGAACCACCTGCCTATATAAACCCCTCTTAAGCCCTGAACACCAGACAAACTTGAAGCGCTCGACGCCCACAACTATCCCCCTAAGCCCTAGACCCTCCCCGGGAACCCTGAAACACGACAAACAAACGAAAGTAGCCGCAGAACGAAAACACCCCCCCTCTTCTTCACCCCCAACCCTAAACCACTTAAAATCCCAAGCCCCATAACCCCAAAGCCAATCCCCCTATACCCTACACCAACCTACAACAACCCGAAACCCTGAACACCAAACCCCAAACTAAGGGGCCCCCCCTAAAAGCCCTTTGCGCCAAAGGCTCGAGGCGCGATCCCGGCTGGAGCAAAGTTCTGACGATGGCACGCCGCCCCTCACGGCAGCGGCACGCCGGGGTCAGCTTTCCGTCGTCCGAAGCTTGCCTCTGAGGGTGAGTTTTGGTGGCGGCTTTTTATTTTGTGACGGGGTTGAGGGTGCACAGGCTCCTTCTTGGGGGTGTGAAGGGGCGGTTTTGGGCTTTTCGGGTTTTTTTCTTCTCTGCAAGGCCGAAGCATGCACTGAACGGGTGCATGGGCCCGTAGGGTTTTGAGAAAGCGTGCACACTCTGTGATCAAGCAGGCTGGGGCTGAGCCAAACTCTGGTTCCCTCTATCTGGGTAGGTGTCAAAATTAGGGCCCCTTTTGGGGTACCTTGAACCCAAAAAGGGACAATAATTTTGACAACCACCCATCTGGCTAAAGACGACTGTCCAAGAATACGTAAAAGGAAGTCCACTCAATCCCTGCGCAGATTCTGGGATCCAGTAAGCTTTCTTATGTGGGTCTCGGGATAGTTTGCATTTGATACAGGGCGTGTTATCCGTATTACGACTGCTGGGGGAGGATATAAGGATGCGAGGACGACGCTTTCCATGTGCACGAACGATGGCATGCTTTTGTGGCCAAGGATATTTGCTGGAGAAGAGAGCGGATGCCAATGCCACGGACATGTCTGGCAAGACACCGCTCTTCTATGCTGATGACTGTGCTGTCGCCAAAAGCTTCTGGGCTCATCATTGCAAGTACCGTTTTCCTGCTTCCTGGAACTTTTCAAGGGTTGCTGCCTCAAAAGACACTGCATGGTTGGTGCGATCACGAACCGTGGTCTCAATGCCCTTGCAATGTATGTAACACCCTTTATTCGAGACACTGGCACCATGATGGTTGCGACACTCGCACACGTGCACTCAGGGTATGCGGGTTCATTCACTGCGCTCTCGTCAAGTGACTTCAGGCTCAGATACTGTGGTACAGAGGCCCTATAATATGCAAAAGACCCTGTTCATGGTAGCTCAAGTTCAATCCCAGTCCTTTGGCTGATATCATACACTGAACAAGCTGTCATCGAACCTTTCCCACACGAGCCTAGAATAGATACAATCTCCCACCCTCTCCCAGACCCGGACGGGAATTCAGGTCTGCTGGAGGCAGGCATCAACGGAAAGCTTTCGAGAGCAGCAAGAGCGGCTCCGTACCCAACTGCTGCAGTCCACCGCGTGGGGTAGGACGCCGGGTATGTGGAAGCATAGCGCCGATAGGGCCCTGTCTGATTCTATGTTTACCTATCCGTCAGAATCCATATGGACGTGCCTGTGCCTGTCCATATACATATATACATATACATATACATATACATATATATATATATACATATATATATACATACATATACATATACATATATATATATATATATGTACATATAGAACTGTTCCGTGTCTCTCTACACACCAACGAATCCTTCACTTCGAAGTTGCAGGTCACTTTCATTCTCAAGGGTCTTTGTGTCAAAGACCCTGTTCGCTCTTCTCAACTGCCGGAAAACTTTCGGCGTGAGGTTCTAGGTTTCCTGTTTCCAGCACTGGCAGTCAGAACCTTGATCGCCGGTCGTGGCATCGATTTCAGGGTGAGCTTCGCTCAAAAAGATTGTACATAGCGTCATTGTCGCACGTGAGAAATGACCTCCGGTTAAGTCAAGGCCACGCAGTGCAGTCGTGCAAGGGTTACAACACCGGTATGCTGACGAGATGTGCTGATTCGGTAGTATAGGCTTCGTCCTTGCTCCTTAGTCTGGTGCAAGTTGTTTGGGTTGTTGATGACGTGAACGGCTCTGATCGTGCAGATGTGGTGATGATAATGGTCATGCTCATTGGGGATACCGGTGGTGCGGCCGATGATTGCCGTGGTGAACAATACAATTACGGAGATGGTCATGTCGTCACGAGGGTGACGCTGGTGATGCAGGTGGCACAAGTAGTAATGACGATGATTATAAGCAAAGTGATGAAGATAGTTCAGGTTTCTTCTTCTGAGGGTGATGATGGCGATGATGATCATGATGGTCGGCTTGATGCTGACGGTTTATGATGGTGATGGCGATGATGGTGGTGATGATGATGCTTAATTGAAAAGATGATGACGAGTGTCGAGTGGATGGTAGCGCTGCTATTGACAATGCCGTCAAAGCTGGCGACGGCAACGAAGTTGACGGTGACGCAGATCATGGTGATGTCGGTGTTGCGCTGCGTTGTTGATCTTGGTCAGGCTCTTGCCGAACACGGAACATGACCAGGATGTTGTTGGTGGTGATGGCACACGGCGACGACGGCGATGATGACCATCATGAATAATGGTGATGAGAGTCGTGTTGAAGAGCTGCTGGCTACGGTGGTGATGGTTGCGAAGTGAGTGTGGTCAGCATGGCATGGTTATGATGATCGATATTGTTTTCCGGGACGTCAATATTGCAGTTTGCATCACAGTTAAGAGCTCGGATACCGCTTGCCATCTGCCTTGTCGTTGTGAACAGCGATCACACGAGGGTACGGGGTATTGCTCCATTGTGATTTCTGATTTTCCGACACATGCTGGCACGCCTAAGTGTCTCCTTGCAGTGATTCTACGCAGGAAATACAGCAGGGAAGGGCTTTGATCTCGACTAGAGTCTTCGATGAAAAAGATATCTCCAAGCTGCATGTCTCAACTCTCCAACCCCCGTACACCTGAAATCCTAAGCCCTAGACCCTCGACCGGGATGAGGGGTTTCTGTGTCCTAGGCAGCTCTCCCTCTTCTCGCACGATGCTCCCGCTGAGCCGGTGGACTTGAGCATGCAGCGCACTCCCTCAGGTTCGGGCCTAAGCTTGGGCTCTTAGAACCTTTTAGGGTATCGAGTAGATCTCCTCAGGTTCTAATTTTAATATCCTTTGAAGAAGGCTTCGTGTTCCGTGAGCCGTCTTGGCAGTTAGATTGTGAGTGAGTCTGAGGTTTCAGAAGGGCGTCAGGGTTGAGCAGCGGTGTAGTATGAGGCTCGCATCCTCGACTGTGATTCGGAGACTCTGCAGCCGGTGACGTAACTTGGTCGGTCCTTCTCCGTTTTATCGGGTTTGTAACTGCTTCGGGCACTTGATGATGATTACCGCTGCCACATCAAGCGTTCGCGTCAGTGGTAGCAGCATGCACGGCATCAGCTCCGCTCCGTCATCACGACTGAAAGCATCACCATCACTACCGGACCATCGGCATCCTCGCAATCGTCACCATCAACATCATAATCATCATCGTCATCCTCAGGGTCATCGCCATCATGAGAATGTTCCGTCCCAGTGCCTCACCGGCCCATTTTTGGAGCCGTGGAGACAGAATGAGGACACCTCCCCAGTCTTCTGAGGTTCTCCCCGGAAGTGGTCCCTCCAAGCGGAAGTTTCAGAGTAGATAGTATAGGCCTCAAAATACCAAAGAAACCTCCGAAGTTCTCATGGCAGATCTGCCGGACTTGCCGGATAGTGAGCTGTTGCGAGATGACGGCTGGGAGCTAAGACATGTTAGGGTTTAGGGTTCTGGGTCCTATAAGACCTCGTGAGCTCAGACCTATGGGAGATTTCGTTTTCAGGGGCCGGCCAGCGCCGACTGGATGTTCCTTGGGGATAAGTTTCTTAGAACCTCGATACAATCAAGCACAATCATATTGTCTGCGTATGCCGTATGCTGCGTCAGCATCCCCGCCCCTCGATTCTGAAGCCATCATAAAGCTCTCAGCCCCAAACCCTGACCGTGTAAGCCATAAGAAACATTTGTACCCTGGTAAACCCCGAATCCCTGCCCTAAATCCAGTCTGAAGCCTGCAGATCACCAGTCTAGAACTCTCAACGCTAACCCGAATTCCCCACCTTCCAGAAAAGGTGTGGAGGCTGCGGATGCCCTGCATTCGCAAATCCAGCAGCAGCAGGCCATGGAAAGAGAGTTCCCATGAAGATTTTACAAGGGTGGAAAGGTATGTGGGGTTCAATGAGGGACTTCAGAGTGAAGTTTGCAGCATGCTACTAAGGGTTCCATATTATACACTTTTACAGCTAATGTTTTTACAAGGGTCTCCGGGTTTAGAGTTTAGTGGCCTTGGTTAAGGCATCAGTCTTTTATGGGCCCCAGCATCTACGAACTTCGTCGACGTAGCTAATCAAACCGAGAATGTTCGCATCGGTTGGCACTGGCAACCGTGCCCGGTACACTCGCCGGCCTGGATGCGACGACTTCACTAGGTTTACGGGTTAACTAGACCCCAAACTATCTTCTCTAGACGCACTATTACGGCGTAGAAGGTCTTCATGACCGGTGCTGCGGTGAGGGCTTTGGGTTGAGACTAGAGCTCTTGCAAGGACACTCCCGACTGGGCTTCCTCTCTGGAGACCCACCCCGAGGACTTGGCGATACTGGCTTGGGCCTCATGGTATCGGACGAAGCCCATGCTGATCTTGGTGTCGACTGCGGCGTATCTTCTCACATGCGCATGGGCACTTACTTGGTCTTCATTATGTACTAGTCTCGCAGATGGTGTTGACAGGATGCACAGGACGATGGTCATGACGGTGGTGGTGATCGAGTTTGTCAACATAGGAAGTTGATGACCACAATTTTGAACTGCACTTTCGATGTGTTGCTTGCAATGTAGATTTCGATTTCCGTCCTTCTGCAATGTAGCTGTTAATTGGCCCATGCCGTAATGGCTTCCCCCAAACCCGAAATTCAACAGGATTTGAGCCCACACCAAGCTGGCACTTGTTCAGGTTGTCCAACGCTGCACCTTACCCTACTTCAGGCCTTGAACTTGAGTTGCAGTCGAGATGAAGGCCTGTGCTGATCTCAACCCCATAGAGAGTTATGCGTTCTTAGCAGCTACTCTAGCAGTTTGCAGCGGTGAGGTCATCGCCAGCGCCGGACGCCAGGAGACCGCTCATGCTTTGGGGTTCATGCCACCGCAGAGGCAGAGGGTCTTGTCAGCTGCATCACAAAAGCTGAAAGTGCTACAGCACCCGAGAAGCCCATATATGTAAGAACCCTACAGGCCCTACAGCACTAGGTCACTAGGCCTTTACAGCCCAAACTCTGTTGTGCTCAAGCTTTCAAAGATTGAAGGCCTTGCAGCTCATATCTTTCGGTGGCGCCGTCACCCTCCAGAATCCTACACACAAGCACCTTAACCAAAGATGAAATCGTATAAAGTGTTTGCTCCCAGAAATCTCGATACCCGATACCTGAGGAGCTTCTGGAAACGAGCTTACGTTCCTTGGCTTCGCTGCAAGGCCGGATGGGAGGAAAGACCTTGAGGTAAGGCTGGTCCCAGTTTTCAGTGTTCCGACATATTGTGTTGAGTTTTGGGTTCAGCCCCCTTCACAGTTGCAACAGCATTTTTGGCAGGTGTCCGAGGAGTAGGTTTTTGAGGAATTTTGCTTTCGGACATTTCGTATCACATTCCTTGGAATGAAGATGAGAGGGGTGTGGGGCTCGAAGCATTTGGACCTCTAGACAAAGGCACCATACTACGGTACCTTGAATCAGGAGGATGGTATTTTCTTCAAGTTTCAAGGCTTCAGTCTCAAGGTATAGTTGCCGCACTTCTTGGCATCGTCAGTGTGTCGCAGGTATCTACACTGAATGTGTGTGTAGAAATATGCACCTACATGTACAAGTGTTCGTGCATGCATACCTGTGTTTCGTACGTTGGTTGCATGACTCAATCAGGCAAGTAAGCATCCACTGTTTGTAAGGGGTCGTAATCAAGGTAAAGGGAGGGGGAATATCAGGGTCCTAGAAGGGTTCTTATTGCACGGCCATGCCAAAACTAGCCTGCTGTATCTCCCTGTGCAGGCTATCGGCGAGAGCAGGTTCTCGTGTTCCAGGTGGCGTTTGCATCAAAGCCTAAGCCCTCTGAAAGATTCATGCAGTGAACGATTTTGCTGGATCCAGCAGGACTAGACTAGAAGCATCCAGAACAGTTTAATACTTCGTTTGTGAGGATGAGACTGGTGATTGCTACAACGACCATGACGACCGTGGCATTGAACATACGCTAATCCCATCCTCGTCTCCGTCAGCAAAGGCTACGCCTGAAAAGCCGGTGTCTACTTCTCAAGACCAAGCAGGTTTAGGGTTTGGAGACATGGAGATCAGCGATACTTCAGACATCTCCGAGACTCCTGACGACAATCGATGTCACCTCGCCATTCTCTTTCGGGTGCACCAGCTCACACTAATTGTCCCTGGATCTGCAATCTTCCAGACTTTGCAATCCAGGGCCGGCCCGACCAACAATGCCGTCTCGAAAACTTGTTTAGGATTTAATTAAGGATATATAAGGCTTTATGGGGTCTAGGATTGTAGGATCCCAAGCACCACGGATTGCTACGCTACACCCGGCCTCCGTCCCACATGGACCCTCGCCGAGTCCCATCTGCCGCAAGGGCCAAATTCCCACCCAAAGCCAAATATGGGGGCCTTACTGCTTTCCGGGTGTACTTACTATGGACTGTGGTGTAAACAGCTATGCTGCAGCTATTCTAGCTAGGTATGTTGGGACTATAAGATGATATGATTGGGACTTCTTCAAGTCTCCATGCTGGGCCTTTAAACCGGCGGCCAGGATGGCCCGGACGCGAGAGCACAATGGGTCTGCACCCTCGGAAGCTTCTTGCCGGGGGTCGGGAACTTTCCAAAGAGCCCTAAGGGTTTCGGGTCGAGGGTCCAGGTAGCTAGTAAAACGGAGCCCCTTCGAGGCCAAAGGTCTACACACACACACACACACACTCTCTCTCTCTCTCTCTCTCTCTCTCTCTCTCTCTCGCTGTCTCTTTTTATCAAGCATATCGAGATGAATCCAAATACGACGATATGTACAAGTAGAGGTAATGAAGTATATACACGCGCATGAGTATCGGATCCGCGTAGGGGTTTGGGTGCTTTAAGAGTTGAGATTTTTTCGCCTAGGCTTTCGCAGCATTGGTTTGGCGGCTGTTAGGGCAGGCCAGCCACCAGTTGTACCTAGTTTCGACTAGTTTTCTGGCTTTGCGTTTGCCTTTAGAGGGGCCCAGCTTCGACCCTGGATACGATCTCAACTCTGAAAAGCGGGACCTTTAAAAGACTCCACACCGAAAGCTAAACTTCGCAAGACCTCACACCCTAAGCGTCTCTCCTTAACCCTAAGCACCAAAAGCCTAAACCCGGGCAAAAACAGCCTTTCAGGGGTGTTTTCTGGTGGCGCCGCAAGACGAGAATGATGTATAAGTGGGACTAGCGCAATGTAGAGTTGCAGAATCGAAACGCTAACGTTCGAACATGTATATGTACAGCTACGACAATCATCACAATCATTGTCGGCATCATCATGATCAACGGCACCCAACCCAGCGTAGCCAACAGCAAACACAACACTGGCAATACAGCGGCAGCAGAAGCAGTATCGCAAGCAGAGTGGCATCATTGACGCTTCAGGTCGCACAAACCATGTTTCAACTTGCCTGGGCCGGATTCTCAGCGCCGTTCAGAGTTGCCGCTCTTGGTAGGACACTTTGACGACCTCAAGTGCTAAGTCGAATGCATTCCTTGTGGCTACCCCCATCGCCCATCGCCAGCTTCGCTGCGGTGGTACCGCCTTTTATTCTTCAGTCTCGTCACTGGCATTATCCCTTGTTCTGCCAAATATTGCCATCAATGAATGGCCTGCCTTTGAAAATCAATGAATGCAAGCGACAGTAGAAGTCCTGACTACGTCTCCGGACGATACCGAGTACTGGCCGTGATCATCATGTCAGCTAACTGTGACTTAAGACAATTTTCAGGCACGAAACCCCAAGCCCCTCGACCCTTATAGAATGTAGGATCCTTATTATAAGGACCCAAAGATAAGGTACCTCCTGATTTTCGGAAACTCCCATATGCTTGAACCCTGAAGCCGCACCAGGTCTTGAACGACCGTGAGAGTGACGAGAGCATTCTTGACTTCGACTCCCGGGTCACTGGGTGTGGAGCTCATGCCACCGATAAGACATTTTGAGGAGGTAGAGATGTTTAGAGTTTATATTTAATTAAACATATGTATGTGTATATGTATATATATATATATACATAGATATATTGCGCTTAGGGTATAGGGTTTGGGCGGAGGGTTTAAGGGTATTACCGTAGTATGTTTTGCTATTGGCGTTGTGGTTCCGACCACGTACGGTTTCCTGTGAGATCATGTTCATCCGACTCTTTCATGCATCGTCTAGGGACTATCCACACGCCTTAGGGATACGGTTTTCCCACTCAGTCGGTACCATACCGGCAGGACCCCCTGCCAGTGTGTGTGTGTGTGTGTGTATGTGGGTGTGTGTGTGTGTGTGTGTCTGTGTGTGTGTGTGTGTGTGTGTGTGTGTGTGTGTGTGTGTGTGTGTTTGGGTGTGTGCGTGACTGTGTGTGTGTGTGCGCGCAGGCATCACCGGGCGGCGATCTCCTTTGCCTTGCACAAGCATTTCCCCAAAGCTCGAACGCTTGTGGTTGTCAGACCCTCAGAAATGTATGCATGTTCCTGCTGTCAGAAAACCTAAACACAACGAAATGGCGCATTTACACATTCACGGTCAAGGTGGAAGACGACATGGAGGCAGCACCCGCTCTGACCCCAGGCATAATGATATTCTGATCTGATCCGGGATGCCGCGGTTGTATTCATGCCTTGCCTTGCATCGCTTGGTCCCTTAGTCACGTAGCTTCTCGACAAGACTTAACGGTGCTTTGGTGAAGCTGCGTAGGCTTCCAGTCACAGACTCGCAGATGGGAACTTTCGGAGGATATGCTGTACTTCTTTGCCCAGCTCGAACCGCTGATGCACAAGGACCTGAACTTAAGGTGCTTTGGCCATTTTTGGCCTCGCTCCTCTATAGGCTCAATGTGAATTCAGTAGGGTTTCATCAGAATCGTAGTCGTAGTGCAGCTTTTGGAAGAGTGTCTGGACCCAGCTGCTTCGTCCTACACCACTTACATTCATGGCTTTAGGCACGGTTGCAATGCGAAGCCCTGAGACGGTATCTCCGCCGGTTTTGCTTTGCTAGCCGCTAACCACCAGTCATGAATGATAGTGCGTAGGGCACCCATAACACCATCCATGCCTTCGATCAGCCCGTTTTGCTTTTCGGAGCCGCTCCTTTCGAACCAAGCACTGGTAACCTGAACTCTGCCGTTCGTCCGTGATTCCGTTTGCACAAACATGCTGAGAATGAAAAACACAAATCTCAGCCCTCAGCCCACGGAGCCCTCAAAATCTTACCTTTGGTTAGTAGGGAATGGAGGAATGGGTTACATTTAGAAATTTAGAACTACTAATTTGTTACTACTATTCTTCCATTCCCTACTAACCATGGGTAATCCGAGTCTTCAAACCTCCAGGATCCGTCCTTGTGGTGCGTCTCTGCCCGCAACGAGCTGGGACTGGGCCCCTATGCTGCAGATCTCAGTGGGCTCGCACGCCCGGAGGCCCGGTAAAGCGAACAACAGCCTATGGGCATGCCTCTAATAGAGGGGCCTAAATAGTTACCTACATTTTGGGGGTTCCTTCTCATAATTGTAGTATGAGGGGCCCAAAACCATATTCTAATTATTATGGCCCCTTTATTAAGTAGGGTCGTTCTCTAGATCCCTAAAAGGGGCCCTAATTTAGAGAACTACCCATATCCACACATCATGCCTTACTAGGGTCTGGGGCCTTGAAGTGTAGGTGTTTAGGCTGCCGATGCTGCCAGTTGTGGCGCTGGTTAGAATGTAGGCAGGGCTTTTTTTCCGGCGGTATCGCATTATATTACCAACATTAACTGGGTAGTCGTACCAAAGCGACAATGGTTATGCAGCTGATGACGAAGATGTTGGTTTGATGGTTCAATGAATGGTGATTGTGAGCACTGGCACCTGCCGGAGTGTGATCTTGGTGGTCAGCATGTCGTGATGGCGGTTGGGGCTGGGGAGGAAGTAAGTTTGAGGACATTCCAAGCGTACTTGCACACTCTCGGCATCTTCTCGACCCTGCTCGTCACGGTCATCACTCTCGGTTTGAGGCAAACTGCGCTATGCTCGCCGATGTCAGACTTGGTGAAACAGACATATTTGGTCCACGGTCCAGAGGCAGTCCTGTACCTTAAACCCTGAAGAGACCTTAGTCCCGAAGGCCCGTGGAGCTAGATCCAACTCAACCTTTCCGCGACGCGCTTGCACCACAGTTGGGTTCTAGAAAATGTGGTCATGTCTACCAACCTCCTCGGGCTTTATGCAATTGTGTGCTTTTGCTTTGTTCAAATCTTATCAGCGTTGGTGCGCAATTTGCAGACTTGTACATGCATGTGAGCACTGTAGCCTTAACCCGCCCTGAACCTTGAACTCTCAGCCCCAATATGGACCCGAGGTACCGATGTTTTTGCCGGAAGCCTGGCTTGGATGCTGCCTGCCGAGTGTGCCCCCAAGCCTGCCTTCAACGCCTCGGGGGTTGATTGTTCAGAGGATATCCAGGACCCCCGAAGTGCTCTTTAACACAGCCCTTTAGGTCCTTAATAGTGGGCATTTAGGTTAATTTCGTGGGTAGTTGGGGGGGTCTAGGCTATGTTCCAACAAACCATCATCGTGTAGGATTTTGCGGGTTTTGGGGTTAATGGACTCAGCGCTTTTTCGGTCCAATGAGGATGTTCACGGTCCATGGTGCGTCATGGCTCCTGGAGTTTCTATTGTACGTCATACCGCGGAACCAATGTTACTCGTACGAATCTTCTAAACCTTTTGATTTGGGAATAGGCCCTACCCATAGGCCCCAAAGTAGTTCCTTTTTGGGATTACCTTATGGATCCTAAATATGAACCCCAAAAAGGAACTACTATGGGCCTATGGGTAGCATAAACTGCACTTCGTGTCACTTGGACGCTGCCCGCATAACTCCTTCAACTTTAACTGGAAGCCTCTAAATGCCCCACGACACGTTGAAGGCAGGACTCAAACGGGAGTTTTCGAAAATTAGGGGTACCTTTTTATTCTCGGGTCCTTATAATAAAGATCCTCCTATTTAAGGTACTATACTATATTATGGTTCCCTATTTTTGGAAACTCCCGTAAATGCCAACCCCGAGCCTCCTAACCCGAGTCAGGCGACCCGAAGCACAACAGATCTTGACGGCAGGCTCGACTCCTGCATCAAAGCCCTGTATCCTTCGAAGCGGCACAAAGATAAGGAGCAGGATGATCCAAAGGGAAGGTCATGAAGGTAACAAGCCCTGACTCCCTAAACCCTAAAGTCTAAACCCTGAGACCCTGAAACCCCCAAAAAAAACCCTAAACTCTAGACTTTACACCCTAAACCAGAAACCTGAAATCGGAAACGATGAACTCTGCCGTGAGCAGATACACTCTGGCGAGGCTCTATCGAACGGAGATCTTGCCCCGGTGGCCGGAGAAAGACTGGGCCGAAACCTTACCGAAGGAGCTATTTAGTCTTTAGGGTTCCGGATTTAGGATTCAGGGTTTAGAGTTTAGGATCTAGGGTTATAGGCTTTAGAGTTGAAGGTTTATAGAGTTTCGGGGTTTAGGGTTTCAGGTTGCGGAGCAGTACGAGGCGTTGACGGCGGGATGCCGCGAGACCCTGCACTGTACCGTCGCTTAAATGGGGGTGTCGGAAAATAGTTTCTGGGGGTCCTTATAGTAAGGATCCTATTATTTTGGGTACCAAATTAGGGTCCCCTATTTTCGGAAACCCTCAAACGTCCCCGCCCTCTCGTTGGAGCTTCTGGAAATGAGAGAAGCCTGGCAAAGACTTGAGCCCCCACATCCCCACACCCTCAACCAGACACCCCACACCCTGGAGGATTATGCAGGGTAGCAGCCATGTTTCAGTTGAACGAGCGACTGCATCTTTAGGCCCCAGTTGTCTTCTGCGCATCCTTTAGGGATGCCGCATCCGAAGATCGATGAACAGGCAAGGGCCTCAATGCACGAAGGCGGAGGCGTGGCTGCTTCAGGGGAGGAGCCAAAAGGGCTGCTCTATACAAACCTGAAGGATCCTTCTGGACTTGCAGACCTCCTCCTGGATGAGAGGGTAGACATTCGCCTGGTGCGGGGAACGTGCCTGAAAGCCCTCGACAGGGAGAAGCAGACTTTCATCCGTCGCCAAGAGTTGGAACACCATCCGAGGTACCGGGATGCTTTCGTCACGCGCGAAGAGTTACAGAAGTGGAAGGAAGACAAAGCATATCGCAACAAGGTTCGGATCATCGGTGTCTCTCACGTGTGGGAAACCAGAGAGCATCCTGACCCCAGAGGTAATCAACTGGCGCTGATCGCCCGGGCGCAGTTTTGGCATGACCGGTACTCTTGGTATTTCTTGGACTACATGTCGGTTTATCAGTTCTACCGCACAACTGTCCATCAGAACAGGAGCTTTCAATACACGATGATGCACATGCACTTCTTTTACACGCACGAGTGCACATGGACCTACCGGATTGAAGACCTGACCCCGTTTGAAGAAGCTGATCGACAGATGCAAGTTCAAGTATTCTTCACCGAGACAGGGATTCCCGACGACGGAAAGGTAGAAGTACGGCCTTTTGCAGATCTCAAGGAGAACAGCACACCCTACTCTCGGCGGGGTTGGTGTGAGGCTGAGAGCCAGTGGTCGAGCATGCGGAGCAACTCTCGACAAACAGTCTCGCTGTCTTTCGTAAGTCCGGAGACCTGGACCAGGGCTCCCATGGCACCTGCTGTCTTTCAAGCAAAAGTGTCGAATAGCGAGCTTCTGTTTACGCACCAAGACAGCGCTGAGGCCGTGAAGGAATTGCAGGAACGTGTATTCATGGAGAAGGCGGTGGAGAACATGATGCTGCAGATGTCCGTCTTGCCCCCTCGCGAACTTCCGATCCTCGCTGGCGCGCTGCCGCTGTACAAGAACCTGAAGGTCTTGCGGATAAGCAACAGCCAGGTTGACTGTCAGGGTGCGGAGGCCTTATCCACCGTGTTGACGATGTCAGAGCTTCATTTCAACAAGCTTCGCATCTCCGGGGACGCAGTATGCAAGCTGGCTTCGGGCTTGAAGGGCAACAGTGCAGTGTTGAAGGTGGCACTCACTGAATGCCTGGTGGATGAAGAAGGTGCAGCAGGTCTGGCAGATGCGCTCGCATGCAAGGAGACCAGACTGGAATCACTAGATCTGTCTCGCAACGTCATTGGGTGCACAGGAGCCAAGCACCTCTCCGATGCCTTGATCCACAACAGCTTCCTGCAAAAACTCGACCTGAGCTTCAACTCCATTGCAGATGAAGGGGCAGCCAGCTTTGTTTCCCTCTTTGAGCCGGTTGCCTTGCAAGAGCTTTGCCTCAATCACAACTGCTTCGGTTCAAAGGCACTTGCCATCATGCAGACTGAGCGGAACAAGAGCCTGAGGAGACATGGCCAGGTAGGGCTTGCCAAAATCATGCGTTTGCTTCTCTACACCCCTCAACGATGCCGGGTAGAGTGTCATGAACATGAAGCACACCGACCCATGAGGGATTCCCCAAATTTTCGATCCCCCCAGGTCCATCTCAACATCAGATGCGCCGGCGGCCCCTCCATGTGGATTTTGGAAGAGTACGTCTTTTTGACATTGCTTGTTGACAGTCTAGTGTTTGGGGGATGCCATATAGTCTTACCAATAGTGGCCTTCACTGACTATTTCCTTCCCAGAGGGCCAGAAAACCCGCCGGCTGGAGACTACGAACTTCTACAGGTTTGGCTTGCTGTCCCGAGCATTCTGCTTGTTGCGGCGCCAGCTGTTTATATTCTTTTTACAATTATCCAGGAGGTCTTTTGCAAGCAGCGCACGGCTGACCTGTGTTTTTTGGAAATCTGGGCAAGGATCTTGATGTGCTACTCGGCAGTTTGGCTGCCTGCAATGCAAGTGCACACCCTTCTGGAGCGTCCGCCGAGCGACCAGCAGGGGTCCACTTTCGCTGCAGTCATTCCATACACGCTCGTGTTGACAGCCCTCTTGGTGGTCCAGGCATTGGTCGTTCTGTTTCACCCCACCTTTCGTGCTATATTTCGGGTGTTCCTTCGCAAGTTTCTGAAGCTCTGATGAAGCTCTGACATCTTGGGCAAAGATCCACTGGATTTCACCTTTAGAAATCGGGGGTTCTGCTTCAAACTTCGGGCTTGTGCCGGTTGACTATCGAACATCATCATCACCATCATGTTCATCTGCAGCGGCATCCTCGCCGTCAGTGTCACCACCATCTTGACTTTTGACCTCCACCAACGCGCATTCCCTGACTACCATGAAGAGCATGCGCGAAGGCGCAACATCTTCGATCGCCCGCTGTGTCGCGAGGTGCACGCGGGTACGGGAGTCATGGGAATTGGATGTTCGCTGCGTGCAACGGTGGTTCACGATTCAAGGACTGAGGTTTACACCATGACAGATCCTTAACTCCTAAAGCGAAGCTTTGTTGCCGAGCTCCGAAAACGGCGTGAAGTTTTCTGAGTCGGAGAGGAGTTGCAGTCAGCCAGTCGCCCAGTTTTCAGTGTCCTGAGCTCTCAGTGTAGCCACCGGATGATGGCCTGAATGTTGGAGCAGAGACTGGGGATGCATCGCGTGGTTTGCTTCCTACGATTGTGGGCCTCCGGGTTAGCTGATACGGCGGAAACGAACGTTCCCACTGGCTGGCTTCTGCCAAATGTGTTCCTGCAGAGCATTGGACAACATAATCGCCAATAATCATCATCGTGGTCGCCGAGGCCCCCACTCATCAAACCCTGCACGCTCAACTCGGAAGCACCAAAGCTCGGACTGGCCATGACTACTAGGAGCGCGGAGCAACACCCTTAAACCGGAGACACTGAAAATCGACATCTCGGCAACCCTTCCACGTTGACAGGTCGCCAGTGCGTCGCGAGGTGCTTAGTTCACGAACGGTCATGATAGCGATGGTCTTACCTCAGTCATCTGCAAGGTTCAGGGTTGACGTTTGAGCCTGTGATTGCAGATTCGGGTTAGTTCTGCGGGCTTACAGGAGTCGAGGAGTTTGGTTTAGTAGAGCATTCAGGCCATCGCCAAAACTACATTTGCAGGCGATCCTTGGGGGAAGCCCGTGAGTGCATTCTCATGCCAGAACGTGGCCGCCAATGTTATTCATATGTTATTCATGTTTCACTTGCACGTTACACAGACCGATGTCAATGAGACGGTTCTGCTAGAACAGCCACGACAAAATCAAGACTAACATGTAGCGGTGATGTCCCAGCAGCTCTACAGCCCGCCATCCCAGGCTTTCTAGACTGACGAACTTAGCGCCACGTCCTCACAAGGCCAAAGAATCCTCCTCCCCGTCCGCCGGCTTCTTTTGCTGAGGTCCCCGAGGTCAGCCGCGTACGGCACCTGGGGCGGGATACGCGACAGGATAGGCAGCTTTGGCTTTCCATGCTAATGTAGTGGCCTTAGTAAGTAGAATAGGGTTTGGGGGAGCTCCTTACTATACTTCTAGTATAATATACCCCATTACAGATTTTTGGGATGACCTACCCGATTTAGAGAATGATGCTGCAGAGAAATTAGATGGTTACCCACTTTTCCGAAAGAAAGTGTGTTTCCGCCTACTGTTTTCTACACTCCCCAGTGGGATCTTGTTGATGTTGCCATGAGATTGCAGCGTATCTTCATCGAACACAAAATTGAGGAACAAGTCAACACACATGTGCTGCACATCACTCCCGCCGACTTCTGTGCGGCCTTCACTGACAAGCAGCTTTTTTTTTGGAATGAAATGATCAGCAAAAGCTGGGCTTTGCCGCGGTTGTTTTCTAACGGCAGACCGCCGCCTTGGTTTGCTCTTGTCAATGAGTTAAAAGCCAACCGTAACCCACCTGACATCAAAATTACTTGTATTGCTCAACTGTCACCTGACACGTGGAATTCTATGACTGTACAAGAAATTCGTAATGCTTTACCTGCGAGGCCAGGACCGCTTAAACGTTTCAAGGCGGGCATCAACAGAATCACTAGATTTCAGGATGCGCTTGAAAGGTTCAAAGCTAACCAAACTCTTGAGAATATTTGCCGTACGCACATTCTTGAGCCAAGTTGGGCACAGACTGAAAGATGTGCTGCGTGCAATGCGCCGATCAACTTCTCTTGTGAACCGCGCAAGCTTACGCGCAAATGCCCGAAACCTAAAGACTTCCCTGTACAGATGTTGGACTCCTGGTCCCAGAACTACGAGGCAATGCTTCGACTTCTGCAATCTATTTGCAGCAAGTTATAAATTCTTGCATTCTTTACCTTTGTTTGTACACATTCTTTGAGGATGCACACGTCGTCCTTCGGTTCGCTCTTCGTCGACAGGCTTTCGCCAGCATCCACCCCATTACTCTATTCTAACTATTAAGGCCCTACAGTTTTTGTTCAGTCCTTCTTGCTACAACAATCTGGGTCATAAAGTCGTACAGCCTCACTCCGGAGGAACAGAACCCCCAAGAGCCTAGTTGCCTCTCGGACTTCATACAATGCTTGCGGCTTTGACTGACATCTCGGAACCCGCTACTGGGAAAGTCGTTAGGTCAAGTTTGAGGTGCAGATCTCGCGGTTCATGAGGCTATAGGCGTATTGTAATATTGATAAAAAGATGAATAAACACATGACACTACTAATGATTATAGGAACAAGAAAAACAGCAATAGTTGGCATCACAATACTACTACTACGACTACTACTACTACTACTACTACTACTACTACTACTACTACTACTATAATACTACTACTACTACCACTACTACTACTACTACTACTACTACTATAATACTACTACTACTACTACTACTACTACTACTACTACTACTACTACTAGAACTACTACTAGAACTACTACTAGAACTACTACTAGAACTACTACTACTACTACTACTTGTAACTGTACATAGTCTGCGGGCTGGCTGTTGTGCTGTATGCTTTTATGCATGCTCTTCTGTAATTCGTATTCATAACATTTTTGGCTCAAGTGAGCACGGCAGTGTGTCGTTGGTAGCTTCTCGTTGCCGCGACGCAATTGCGCGCAGCCCGTCCTGGGCGGACGTTCGACCTGTCACGGTCGTTGGACTTTCTGCTTGGACGGAAAACGAGGGGGCGTGCTGCCCCTTTGGGTTTCCGTTCTCCACAATTGGGGGCTGTTCTGGGAAACGGCCACCCAGGCGGCTGCTGCGCCGCAATCTTTTAACGTGGCCTCGAAGGCGCGCTTGTCGTGCGCCTTGAGGCCGTGGTCCTGTGTGGCACGGGGCTCTCTCCTTCGCTAGGCTACCATGAGCGCTGAGGTCGCAGGTCAGCCGGAAGGAGCCACGTTGCTGAGGTGCATCGAGGATGGGTCAGTGGAGTACCCGGAGAAGATGCCCTTTATGTACTGCCTCCGTTGGCGTAAGGAAACGGGGTCCCGTCCCACCAAGAAGAAGGACGGACGATCCACGACGCTAGCAGATGAACAGCGTCTGTGGAAGGAGACGATGGAATTCCTCTACGACAACTTCGATGCCGAAGAGGAAGAGGAAGAAGATGAAGAGGAAGATGAGGAAGCTCCAGCTGCGGAAGCGGGCCCGGGTGCTCAGGATGGCGATCCGGGCCCCAGCTCTGAAGAGCTTCTGCCGGAGGCCGGGGTACCGGCTCCGCGTCCTGCCGCTGCGCCGGCGGACGTGGCCGAGACGGCGCGCCGTGTTGGTGCGCTTGCTCTCTCGCCGGTGGCCGGCGGCCCGGCCCGTTCCGGGCCTCCCTCGTCTGCTGGGACGGGTGGTCCCGTCACGGCGGAGACCCTGCAGGCGGACCTGCGGGAGCTCTACCGTCCCGACCAGGAACCGGTCGCGGATTACCTGACGCGGGTTTCAAGGCTGGTTGTGGCCTTGAAGGCGCACCAGGCAGAGGTCACGGTGGAGGATCTTGAGAAGATCACTACCAAGGCCACCATCCTTGCCGAGGAATACGGCAAAATGGGAGGTGACTGGCACCCTGCCAGGATGGTGCGGGCCCTGCGCACCAGGTTTACCGTTGCCGCGGTTTCTCTTGGGTCGGAAGACCGAGAGGAGGTCGAGAAGGAGATCTCGTGCCTCGGCGAGCTGATCTTGGCCCTGGGAGGCAAGAGCAGCGGCGATCCCGAGAAGGTTTGGAGCACTCCTTCTTCTGTCCCGGCCCTGGCGGCCCGGACGGGCGCCGTTGCGGAGTCGGGCTCTAAGTCCGGAGCACCGGCGCCTCTCCCGGTGGACCTTCAGCTCGCGATCCCTGAGGATCCGCAACCTGGTCCGGGGGACTCACCCCTGAAGTCCCGCCTTGCGGCTCTGGAGATAGAGCTCGAAGGGCTTAAGAAGGATAAGCCCGGCGAGCCTCACTCCGCCAGCGGCGGAGCCGGAGAGCTCGCTGCAGCTTTGGCGGCCCAGACCGAGGCGCTCAAGGAGGCCTTGGCGTCTCGCGGAGGTCAGACGTCGATCACGACCGTGAAGACGGACCTCCAATGGCCCTCGCTCACCGACGATCGCTCCGACATCCGGGACGTGGTCCAGTTCTACGAAGAGTTCGAGGACGTCTGTGGCCTTGCCAACAACTGCAAGGGGATGAATTTCCGGGAGAAACTCATCGCCCTTCGTGCTCGCTGCCGCGGCTCGAGGCTTAAGACCTTTACTAACGTGTACAAGGCTGCCTCCAAGACCGGGGAAGTTACTGAGAATCCCCAAGCCGTTTACGAAAGGATCAAGCAGCGGCACCTTGTCTTCGGCGAGAGCCGAGAAGAGAAGGAGATGAGGGTGGACGCGGAGCACGTCGCCCTCACTAAGGGCCGTCTCACAGGGCACCAGTTCGAGCCCCTGTTTGAGGCCTCCATCGCGGAGCTGGAGAGTGTGGGTCTTGGCAAGACAGCGAGGGAGCTCTTCCTAAGCTACTTGCGCAAGATGCCTCCACATCTCCAGAAGGAGATCCGCGGTGATAAGCGGTTGTGGCCTAGCGACGGCGCATCCGCAGGGCTTCGAGGCCCTTCGACCTGGGAAGAAGCGCATAAGGTCGTCCTCGAATATGAGCAGCGTGAGGCTGCGCATCGGGTGACGGCTAATA